CTAAACAAAGGCCAAAGCAAAAGTGATTGCTTCTACCACAAGCTCAATAAAATCACCACTGCAGGTGTATCACGCTAACTGTCAGACTCATATGATACAGTATATCCTTCAGTGTAATAAGCTTTGGGACACTGCTATTGTTGTGGGTATTTTACCTCATAATTAAACAGAGGACTCAAGGACTGGCAGCTGAAGATAATTTATCATTCAYAATGATGGGTTTACATAATTTGAACAGCTTTACTACCTGGGTACCCTGGGGGGCAGCACTGGGATAGGGGTCTCTTATTAGTAAGTTGTGTCTAATCAGGGTGAGAGATGGACTATGTCAGAGCTACCATTCATCCCAGATTCTATTCATAACCTTTAAGGACAAAATTTTGACAAACAAAATTGGTGCAGATTCTGCAGTATATTGTACTTTACACTGGTCCGTTGTGGTAAAGCTCACTGTTTCAAGGAGATCATGGATACAGGTAGTTTAAATGTGTTTTCTCCACAGGGTAGTTAGGCTCTCCCTTAGAGTTAGAGTAAAAATGATGGTTAACTGGAAGAGATGTGGAGTAGAACCACTGCTGCTCCACATCAAGAGGAGCTCTTACGGTGGTTCAAGAGGTGTTTCAAACATGTTCAACTGGGAGGAGACCCAAGGGGAAATTCAGGTCACTCTGGAAGGACTATGTCTCTCATTTGGCCTGGGCAGTTCTTGGAATTTTCCCAGAGGAGCTAGAAGAGGTGGCTTTGGTCTGGATCACCATGCTCTAGCTGCTGCCTGACCCCAAAACAAGTGGCAGACATTGGATGAATGGTTAAGTGGATGGATTGTAATTGGATAGTAACAAATGTCCTTTGCAGTGTGTGACAGTTGTAAGTCAGTGAGAGACTGGCTGAAGTGTGGACAGAATGAAGGTGAAACAATTCTTTTAACTCTCACAATAACAATGTGTAAAGTTTGTTTTCAGATGTTTTACTGAATGCCACAAAAGTAAGGGTTGTTATTCAAAAGAAATTCAAAGAATCATTTATATCGTTTGAATCAATTCACTTATGGAGATTCACGTTATTCACTGTTCAGTTGAAACCTTGGAATATTTCTGTAACAATTTACACTCAAATTCTTTTCAGCATTAATCTGCCATTATTGTCAGGGCTTGACCACATATTTTTTTATTTTGTCCACTGCAGAGAAAGCTATGTAAAGAATCCTGAGAGTTCTCTCCTCAGCTCAACACAGATTCAACACTGCAAACAAGAAGTGGATTTGCTCGTCTCAGTCTATTAAAGTGCACTGATTTTTTTTTTATTATAAATGTGACCCATCACATCGAAAAGAAGATTAAGTCCAAAAGTGGTATACGGAGAAACAGACAAATATAGTGTTTTGACTAAAATGTAAACAAAAATTGCATTTTGTTAAAATATAATGAATAAATGCCTTATTAATGTATCATTTGAATGAACTGTCTGAAATTTAATCATAAAACAAAATTTTGAAGCACTTTTTAGAGCAGTAGCAACAAAAAAAAACTGATTTTGAGGAAAAACGCCTTAAAATTTTTGAGATTTTCCCTGTGAGTTACCAAAGC